CCGTTGAGCATGGAAAACAAAGACCGTAAGCAAGGAGGGCTCTATAGGGACAGAACCGCACCCGTGGGGCTGCTCCCATTCGTGTGCATTCTGGGTTTCCATACCTGCGTGGGCAAGAGCCGGACACGCGAACGACAGGACACAAAGCACAGAGATCTCAGAGCCAAACAAGCCCTAGGCCCGCGAGCTTTTTATGCGCGGCCCAAACCACACTAGGCAGGACAGGGGGAGGTGGGCGGGACAGCTCCGACGGTAGGATCCACTGCGCCTGCAGAGGGGGAGCGCGCGGACCGGCCCACGCGCTTGCACAAGGGATGGGTGGGGTGTGCCTTTGCGGACGCCGGGATTGTCTGTGCTGTGGGATCCACGCGGGCCTGGGGCCCCGGGGCGCGTTGGGGTCGGTTGGAGTCCGGGCATGGACCGGAGCCTGCTGGCTCTGCTGCTGCCACCTCTAGTGCTCCTGGGTCTGGTGTCCCCTACTCAGGTAGACCCAGACTACCAGTATTTTGGCCAGCAGGGCAAAGTTGACACCTTGGAGCTGCTGAGGCTGCAGCAAAAAAAGGGTAAAAACTAGCAGGTGGCGGGAGTGACGATTTGAAAAGGTGCCCCCAAAGGCCTCACTTAGTCAGCTGATTACAAATAGACCCTCCTGTCTCGACTCTGCCCAGCTCAGCACAGGCCGTGTCCTCTGGGACTGGCCACTTTTCTCTGAGTGTGTTGGTTTCTCATCTGTGAGTTGTTTTTGTTTTGTTTTCTTTCACTTTACTGAAAATTTTGCTCTGCAGCTTCCTTGGTCATCTGATAATTGTAATATACACATTTAGCACTATTCAGGAGACAATAAGCAGACTATAAACATAGTGCTAGGCAGGGTGGAGACAGGGAAAGAAACTGTCCAGTCAGCTTGAGATGTCCGCAAGGTGTGGTGAAGATGGTAGTAACCAATACAGCCGGAATGACTAGCAGAGTCAAAATTACAAAGACTGAGTGAGTAACAGTGTCCCAGGAAGAGGGAATAAACAAAGGCCTAAGGGGAGGATGTCATTTGGCAAAGATCTGATGAGGAAGGGTAAGAGGCACCACCCTCGGTGAGTTCTGATAAGGGTTTTGCTGCACTAGTAGCTAGAGCAGTTGGAGCACTGGCCCAGCGTGCAACAAAGTCCTGCTCCTTCCCCAACACTGACTAAGCAGTGCACACTGCAATCATAGTATTTGGGAGCTGGAGTCAGGGGAACTGAAGTTCAGAGTCATCTGCGGCTACCAAAGGAATTAGAGGCCAGCTTAGAGTACACGAGACTCTGATTAAAAAAAAAAAAAAAAAAAAAAAGAAAAAAAAGGAAAGAAAGGAAAGGAAAGGAAAGGAAAGGAAAGGAAAGGAAAGGAAAGGAAAGGAAAGGAATTCTGTTAGGATGTAGGTCAGGGGTGGTACAGCACTTGACCAGAGTGTGTGAGGCCTTGGGCTAAATCTTACCTTTAGCACTACACTGGGAAAAAAAAAAAGTTGTAGCTGTTCCTGAGCATAAAAATTACTTTGTTGCTACAAGTTAGTGGAGCACCAGTGGCTTTAAGTAAATTCATTGTGTCAATTATATTGTTTATCTTGCGGTGTGTTAGTCCTGCCAGTCAGGTGGCAGTGGGCAAGAGTCAACTTTGGATGTCGGGTATGAAGGACAGAGTGTCCATACTCACAACTGAGCAGGCCAGCACAGATTAGAGGTGTTAATTTGCAGCTGTGGGCAGCTCATGTATGTCAACCTGACAGAGTGGTTTGTTTTTCTGGATCACCCCCACACAGAGGCAGCAAAGTCTTCAAATACCAGCTGATACTAGGTTCCTTATCATTGTCCTTCCCTGGACAAGTCCCCCGTAATGGAGTTAATTACCCCAACTGGGTTTTCATGTTCACTTCCATCTCCAGGAGCGGAAGATTCAATCTTAGGCCCGTGGGGAAAGTGGCATTGTTTCTGCGATCTGGGCAAACAGGAACGCAGCCGTGAGGTGCTGGGTACAGACCCAGTCCCCGTGTTCATGGACCCATCGAACTTGGTACAGTTGAGGCCCTGCCGGCAACGGGATTGCTCATCTTGCAAACCAATGGACTGCGACTGGAGGGTCTGAGCAGAGGTGAGTGGAAAGAGGAGGCAATGAAAATCAGTGAGGACTGACAGGATGATCCAGGCATAGTCAGGGAGATAAGAAGTGAGGTAGTGGCTAGTATGAGGTGAGTACTGGGGCCCAAAGTCTGAGGCTTAAGGCTGGTGATTTGTACCAGGCAGCTGATTTGGACACAAGAGTCTTTCTGAAAACTAGGGAGAAACCAAGGAAAGTTGGTAGGAGTGAGCCATGTTGTTCATGCCTGTGGTTGGTTGAGTGCCTGTGATTCAGGCACTCAAGACAGATGCAGGAGGATCAAAAATTCAAGATCAACCTGGGCTACATAGCAAGGTCAGGGCATTTAAGGCTACATGAAACCCTGTCCTCAAAGCAAAAGAAGAAAAGGAAAAGGTTGAAGAGAAGATGGAGGTACCAAAGAGGCCCATGATAGAGGAACTGGGGTTCAGAGGATGTACCATGGCTTTGATGAGAAACAAGACTCCACACAAAAGGAGGACCTGTGTCCCATCGATGGAGAGAACAAGAAAGCAGTGTGATTGGAGTGCCAGAGGTGTCTGGGAGATGTGGGGTTCCCTAAACTAGGGAGAGCAGGAGAGGAGTGGGGGAAGGGGAGGAAAAAGAAGCCTGCATGGTATGAGCTGACCCTAAATGGGAATCTTCGGGGGCCTGGCATCTATAATAGTGGTATAGAAGGCTTTGTAATATGATGGAATTGTGGAACAGGCTCTGGAGGCAGCAGGATCCTTGACAGAGGGGTTTTGGGAAATCTGAGTCAAAAGGCCTGAGCCCTGTTTAATCTGGGACACCTAGTACTAGGAGCATAGACTATCAGCCAGGGAAACACAGTTAATTGCTGGCAAAAAAAAAAAAAAAAAAAAAAGTGAAGAAACAGACAGATGTCCAGTACAAACCTGGATGGCAGGTGGGAGATCAGGACCCAGTGAGACCAAAAGTGCAATGATATTTGATCATTTGTTATTTTGCTTGGTTTTAATTTTATTATTATTTTAAAAAATTACTTATTTAGCTGGGTGGTGGTGGAGCATGCCTTTAATCCCAACACTCGGGAGGTAGAGGCAGGCAGATCTCTGTGAGTTCAAGACAAGCCTAGTCTACAAGGCGAGTGCCAGGGTAGGCTCCAAAGCTACACAGAGAAACCCTGTCTCGAAAATCCTTCCCCCCAAAATTATTTATTATGTATACAGAGTTCTGTCTGTAGGTCAGAAAAGGGTACCAGATCTCATTTCAGATGGTTGTGAGCCATTATGTGGTTGCTGGGAATTGAACTCAGGAGCTCTGGAAGATCAGCTAATGTTTTTAACCTCTGAGCCATCTCTCCAGCCCTTTTTATTTTATTTTATTTATTTATTTATTTTGAGACAGGGTTTCTTTGGGTAACAGATAAAAGTCCTGACTGTTCTGGAACTGATATTGTAGATCAGGCTGGCCTCGAACTCACTGAGATCCGACTGCCTCTGACTCCCGAATTCTGGGATTAAAGGCGTGCACCATTACTGCTTATCTGATATTTGATCTATTAATTTTTTTAAAAAAAAGTCAAATTGAGTGTGGGCTGGTAATCCCACCATTAGGGAGGTGGAGGCACGAGGATTATGAGTAGAAGGTCGTACTAGGCCACATAGTGACTTCGAGGGAGGCAGCCTGGGCGTTGTGCGAAACTATTTCAAACAAAAACCGTCACCTGAACTGCATCTTAATTTCTCTTCACACATCAGTCACTGAGGGACTGGCTCCAGCAGCAACGGGGCGGAGCTTGCGAAGCAACCCCGCCCACCCTCGATTACAAACTACTCCCTTAGTGGTAGCTCTCGAAGACTACAAGTCCCAGAAGAAGGCACGGCAGCGGCGACAGCGTCGCCTGCGTAAAAGTACCGCGTCGGCGGGCGCCTCGGGGGCGGGTCCTGCGCGCCAATTGGTCAGCATCGAGAGCGGTAACGGCACTCGCGGGAAACGCGCGCTGGGACCTGCGCCTGCAGTTTTGTAAAGCTGTGGGCTGTCGCTGAGGCAGCATGGATCTCAGAGAGCTGGAGAAGGACAATACGGGCCGCTGTCGCCTGAGCTCTCCTGTACCCGCCGTGTGCCTCAAGGAGCCGTGCGTCCTGGGCGTGGATGAAGCGGGCCGGGGCCCGGTGCTTGGTGCGTCCCTCGGGCGGCAGGCCGGGAGGCGCGTGGTGAAAGGGGTGTGGTTGCAGGGAGATGGGAGTGGGGACCCAAGCACGGCCTTGGGACCCGGGAGTGATAGTGGAATGTCCTTGGGCCGTGGTGGTGATGGCACAAGGCAGGCAGGAGGCTTTTAGGTGTTTACTGCTTGGAACCCTGCTCTCAGAAATGTGACTTCTTCCCTCCCAAGGCCCCATGGTCTACGCCATCTGTTACTGCCCCCTGTCCCGCCTGGCAGATCTAGAGGCCCTGAAAGTGGCAGGTGAGCCTCTGCTGAATGTCTACACTTGGGGTTCCGGGCTATGTGCAGGAGGGCAGGTGAGATGGAGGAAGCAGGAGCCGAAAGGACCAGCGAGCTGCTCCCCTTTTCTTCAACTTTTTTCTCAGACTCAAAGACCTTGACAGAGAATGAACGGGAGAGGCTGTTTTCGAAAATGGAGGAGGACGGAGACTTTGTGGGTTGGGCTTTGGACATTCTGTCTCCAAACCTGATCTCTACCAGCATGCTTGGGCGGTGAGGGGCCTCTGCGTGGGTGGGGGAAGAGCAACCAACACAAGTTGGCTGGGTTCTGCATCTGGGATGGTGTTGTTGACTAAGTTCTATCCCTAACCACAGCGTCAAGTACAACCTCAACTCCCTGTCCCATGATACAGCTGCGGGGCTGATACAGTATGCGTTGGATCAGGGTGTGAATGTCACCCAGGTGAGCTGTTGGGTCGCAGCCCTTTGGTCACCTTCTGATTAAAGGGGGCTTTAAAAAATTGAAACTGGGCATGTAGTTCACTTGGTAGATTGTTTGCCTAGCATGCATGAAGTCATGGCTTCCATCCCAGCATTGCACAAAGCCAGAGTAGTAGCACAGGAAGTGGAGGCAGAAGGATCAAGACTTTAAGGTCACTCTTAGCTACAGAGTGAGTTGATGTCATCCTGGACTACCCGAAGCCCTGTTTGGTTGTTTGTTTTGTTTTTTTTGTTTTTTTTTTCTTTTTTTAATAAGGCTGGACATAGTAGAGGAAGGAATTGTGACTTCAGGGTGTATATGGAGACCCTCCGTGGCTTAGTTAGTAAGTGTCTGTTGCAAAAGCATGAGTATGAAGGCCATGGTGGCACACCTTTCAATCTTAGTACTCAGGAGGCAGAGGCAGGCAGATCTCTTGAGTTCCAGGACATCCATCCACAGTGGGACCCTGTCTAAAACAATTGTGAGGACCTTTGTTTAAATCCATAGCACCCATTGTAAAGCCAGGCACAGTGACACAAATCTCATCTCGGTGCTGGGACAAGGAAAGATCTTGAAGTCTTTTTTTTTTTTTTTCTCTCGAGACAGGGTTTCTCTGGAGGCTATCCTAGAACTCGCTCTGTAGATCAGGCTGGCTTCGAACTCAAAGAGATCCACCTGCCTCTGCCTCCTGAATGCTGAGACTAAAGGCCTGTGCCACCACTACCGGGCTGATCTTGAGGTCTTTTTTTTTTTTTTTTTTTAAGATTTTTTAAAAAATTATCATGTATACAATGTTCTACCTGCATATATGCCTGCAGGCGGGAAGAGGGCACCAGATCTCATTATAGATGGTTGTGAGCCACCATGTGGGTGCTGGGAATTGAACTCAGGACCTCTGGAAGAGTAGTCAGTGCTCTTAATCTCTGAGCCATCTCTCCAGCCCGGATCTTGAAGTCTTACTGGCTAGCCAATCTAGGTGAATTGGTGAGCTCCAGGTTTAGTGAGAGACACCCCCCAATAAATAAATAAATAAATAAATAAATAAATAAACAAAGCAATCTAATAAATAAAAATGTACATGTATGTTCAGGTGGAAGCCAGAGGTCACAGTCAGGGGTTTTCCTCAGTTGTCCTTCAAAAGTCACCCTAGAGCTGGGGTTGAGGGTTGGGAGGGTGAGGGTGAGGGTGGGGGGTTCATGCCTTTAATCCCAGCACTCAGAAGGCATAGTTAGGTGGATCTCTGTGAGTTCAAGGCCAGCCCGGTCTACAGATAAAGTTCCAGGACAGGCTTCAAAGCTTCAGAGAAACCCCATTTCAAAAGTCAAAACAAGGAAAAAGAAAAGCCAGGCTACAGTAAACAGCTGGGGTGGTAGTGCTGGGACCTTTAGTCCCAGCACTCTGGAGCCAGAGGCAGGCAGATCTCTGAGTTTAAGGCCAGACTTGTCTCCAGATCAAGTTCCAGGACAGCCAGGGCTACACAGAAAAACTGTCTCAAAAAACAAAATTGGGGCTAGAGAGAACTTTGACTCTACTCTTTCAGAGGACTTGGGTTGAGTTCCCAGCACCCACAGGGTCGCTGACAACTACCTAACTCTGGTTCCAAGGCAGGTCATGCCCTCTTCTTTTTTTTTTTTTTAAGATTTTATTTATTTATTATGTATACAACATTCTGCTTCCATGTATATCTGCACATCAGAAGAAGGCACCAGATCTCATAACAAATGGTTTTTTAAGCCACCATGTGGTTGCTGGGAATTGAACTCAGGACCTCTAGAAGAGCAGTCAGTGCTCTTAACCTCTGAGCCATCTTTCCAGCCCCAGGTCTTGTCCTCTTATGGCCTCCTCAAGCAATACACCTACCTTTACACATAAAATTTATTATTATTTGGGGGGAGTGGTTTTCAAGACAGGGTTTCTCTGTGTAGCTTTGGAGCCTATCCTGGCACTCACTCCCTCTGGAGACCAGGCTGGCCTCGAACTCACAGAGATCCGCCTGCCTCTGCCTCTGCCTCCCTAGTGCTGGGAAATTTATTGTTTTTTAAATTTATATTTTATTTGTGTGCATTGGTGTTTTGCCATTGGGTGTTAGGTCCCCTGGAACTGGAATTACAGACATTTGTGAGCTGCCATGTGGGTGCTGGAAATTGAACCCAGGTCCTCTGGAAGAGCAGTCAGTGCTCATAACCACTGAGCCATCTCTCCAGCCCCCACACATAAATTTTTTTAAAAAAGGAATTAAAGTACTTATTGGTTACTTAAAAAAAATGATGAGTTAGGGACTGTTGAGATGCCTCAGTGGGGAGGCGCTTGCACCCCAGCCTGACTTGAGTTTGATCCTTCTATATGGTAGAAGGAGAACCGATTCTAGAAATTATTCTGTGACTTGCATGCAGTGGTAGTTCATACCCTTCAACAATGTCAAAAAATGTTAAATTTTAAGCATTTGTTTATGGGTGTTTTGCCTGGTGCCCACAAAGGCCAGAAGTAGGTATGGGATGTCCTGGAACTGGAAATAGTTGGAAGCCACTATATGGTGCTGGAGACTGAACCTGGGTCATCTGGAAGAGTACTCTTAACTTCTGAGCCATTCTCTAATCTGTTTGTTTGTTTTAATCAGTTGGATATGGCCTGGCTTGGTAGCTCATACCTTTAATCCCAGAGAGTTTTTTGTTTTTGTTGTTGTTTTGTTTGGTTTTTGAGAAAGGGTCTGAATATATATTTCTGTCTGGCCTTGAACTCACAGAGATCCACCTACCTCTGCCTCCCAAGAGCTGGAATTAAAGGTGTGAGCCACCACCCTGGCTGTTTACTGTAGTCTAGCTATAGAGCTACTTTTGAAATGCAATTGAGGAAAAGCCGTGACAGTGACCTGGCTTCCACTTGAATGTGCTTGTATATGAGGGTCAGCATTTCAGGCCAGCAGTGGAGGCTGTTGTAGGCAGATTTTTTCTGTCCTTCAGGCACTCACAAATAACCACATGGAGATTTCTTAGGAAAGCTTGGCCAATAGTTTAGGCTTCTTTCTTAACTAGCTCCATAACTTAACGTAACCCATTTCTTTTAACCTACTTTTTATTGTTTTGTTTTTCGAGACAGGTTTTGTCTGCATAACAGTCCTGGCTGTCCCCAAACTCAGTGAGATCTGCCTGCCTCTGCCTCCCATGTACTGGAATTAAAGGCCTGTACCACCACCACCACCACCACCACTGGCTTAATGTACTTTTGAGTGGCTCGTTTACCTTTACTTTGTAATGTCAATGCTGTCCTTGGCATGCCCCAACTCTGCCCTTCCCAGTGTCTGCTGTGTCTGCTGTCCCCACCTGTACCTCCTGCCCAGCTATTGCCCATTCAGCTCTTTATTGAATCAATAAGAAGGCACTTTGGCAGAGACACATCTTTGCAGTGTACAGAAAGATTATTCTACAATAGGCTGCACCTACCATGCCCAAGGTCCTGAGTTTACTCTCCAGCATCAAGGTGGTTCAGTGGATGAGAACTCCTGGCAATGTGAGTTCAATCCACCTGATGGAGAGAGAGCTGGCTTCTTTGGTGTCCACACTACAAAAAGTGAATAAGATTTCATTCAGGAAGTGTTTAAGTGGCAAATTTAGCACAATAACCAGATTTTGGTTATTCCTGCTCTAAATGTATGCTCCAACCTCCCTATCCTAAGCCTCCAATGGTCCAGAGTGATTCCACAGTTCTACTTTATTCTGGCTTCTGTCCTATGTCAGGGTCCACCCCACACTTGGAATCCCATCAACACACTGGTCCTATCTTTAGCTCTCCCAGCCCTTTTGCTCTGCTTTCTGAAAAGCAGACAGTCCCTGTGAAATGAAAATTTTTTTTTATTTAATGAACTGTATGACTGTTTTGTATATATCCATGCGTGTATGTATGTAGTTAGGCATGCATGTATGTATGTATGTCTGTATGTCACATGCACGCATGGTGCTCATGGAGGTCAGAAGAAGGCATCAGATCTCCTGCAATTAGAGTTCCAAATAATTTTGAGCCACCATGTGGGTATAGGAACTGACTTGAGGTCTTCTGAGAGCAGCAAATGCTCTTTACTGCTGAGCCAACTCTCCAGGGATATCACATAGCAAGGCTGGCCCTCCAATTCCATATGCAGGTATCCCTGAACTCCTGACCTCTGCCTCCATCTTCCAAGTGCTGGGATGACAGGCCTGTGACACCAAAGCTAGGAATATGACCCTGGGTGTGGAACCCAGGTTTTGAGCATGCCAGGCAAGCAAGCACTCTGCCTATGGAGGCATATCCCCAGCCCAAATGCAAGGGTTGTATTCAGGGTGCAGGCTGTCCTCAGCCCCTCGGATGACAGTGAGCACTGAGTGCTCAAAGCCTACACCATGGTTACAGAAAGCATATCTTGATTTAGGCCAGTGGTTCTCACCCTGTGGGTTGCAACCCCTGTGAGGATATCAGATATTTACATTGACTCATAACAGTAGCAAAATTAGTTATGAAGTAGCAACAAAATAATTTTATTGTTGGGAGGTCACTAAACAGGAACTCTATTAGGTGAAGGCTGAGACCATTGTTTTTGGCAGTGCTGTTGGTGTAACATAGAGGGCTTCTACCCTGATAGAATCATTTTTTAAAAAACTGTGGAGCTAGAGATATGGCTCAACAATTAAGAGCACTTATTGTTCTTACAGAAGATCTGTGCTCAATTCTTAGCACCCATATGGTGACTAAAAACTAACTCCAGTTCCTCTTCTGGCATCTGCAGGCACCAAGCATGCGAATAAAGACAAAATACTTATACATTTAAAATTTAAAAATTTACAAATGTATATTATGCCACATATAGAGGCACCTACCTTTAGCCTGAGGCAGGCTGATCTCTGAGTTTGAAGCTAGGCTATTCAACGTAATGAGTTGCAGGCCAGCCAGAGCTCAGACTGAGACCCTGAATTAAAAACATACCCAAAACATTTCTTTTGTTTGTGGTGTATGTGTGAGTGCTGACATGCATGTCATGGCATGCCCAGAGAGTCAGGGTAACTGCAGAGTCAGCTTTCTCTTGTCACCTTTATGGGGACTGAAGTTCTAACTAAGATCAGTATGGAGTGCCAGGATCTGTACCTGCTATGCCATTTCCCCATCCCTTGAATTGTATAGTAAGTAAAAAATCAGTTGGCTAGAGAGATGGCTCAGCAGTTAAAGAGCACTGTTTGCTCTTCAGAGGATCCAGGTTCAATTCCCAGCACCTTAATAGGGGCTTCCAACAGTTCCAGGTGATCTGTCCTCTTCAGGCCCAGGCACACATGGTGCATAGACATACACGCAGATAAAACACCCATACACATAGGATTAAACAGTATTGGGCCGGTAGCTTAGTTTGCTAGTGTTTGTATAGCATGTGTAAGACCCTGGGTTCTGTTCTCAGTAGAATAGAAGACTGCATGTTTTATAGTTGTTTTTCCTGCTGTTTGTTAAATGAGTACATTTCTTCCCATCCTCCTGTCACCATGGCAGGTATTTGTAGACACTGTAGGAATGCCAGAGACATACCAGGCTCGATTGCAACAGCGCTTTCCAGGGATGGAGGTGACAGTCAAGGCCAAAGCAGACTCCCTGTTCCCTGTGGTCAGTGCTGCAAGCATCTTTGCCAAGGTTAGCATCCTGATGGCCAGTGCCCATTCCCTGCATCTCTCTTGTATAGGGACAGGCAGGATCCCTATGAGGAAGGAGACACTAAGCTACTGTCTTGCTTGCAGGTGGCTCGAGACCAAGCTGTGAAGAACTGGCAGTTTGTAGAGAGTTTACAGGATCTGGATTCTGATTATGGCTCTGGCTATCCCAATGGTGAGCTGAAGGCATTCTTTTCATTAAGGTTTTTTTTTTTTTTTTTTTTTTTTTTTTTTTTAATTTTTTTTTTTTATAGGTTTTTGTTTCCATG